CGATGCTGAGAAATGATTTAATAAACCTAATTCAGACAATATAACATGACGATAGTAATAATACGAGTCGTATATATACCATTAAAAATATTACTATAACCAAACATTGCACTATTTCTCAGCTTTGTATGAAATAATTGTTCATAGCACTGTTAATTTTCAATGCTTCTGATATCATAGCTAGAGCTATACCGCATTTGGAAAACCGTGAAGGAGGATCATTTTTGTGACTAGATCCATTAACGACAAAAGAAGGCACATTTGTGTATTTACTGGAGCATTGCTTTACTCCGTGCCTCACAAGCATTCAGTAAATTCATCATTTCTGTCCGATTGCCCCTCTACTTTCCATGGCAACCCCTGCTAAGCAGGTAGGTCAACCCAACAGAAGCCCTAGAATCATCGGCCATTGCAACATCTTGAAATAGGCCGCATAAGTCAAACAATCATTTGTAACAATTAATTATTATTTTAACTTGTAGTAACGTGGTAGTCCTCTGTCCTCTATCATATTACACGCGATCTTCAGCATCATACCATTGACTTGGTACATTCCCAAACGCTTCACCGGCATCTTAGTCGGCATCGTCAGTACAGAGTTACACCCTGTCAAAGTGGCAAGAATCTTTAAGAATTAATAATTGTTAAACGTTTGTATATTCTATTAAAATGTTTATAATATCTTTTTTAATAGTAGACATAGATATATGTAGAATATACCAACACAGGACGAGTTACGTTCCACACTTTATGCCTAAGGCTATGACCAAGGTATGAAAACGAATTTGATCCAACAGTATAATGGTGAAAGAGAATGCGACCAATCACAAGGCTACACCATCTTGGTCCTTATGGCTACGACTTAAAAGACAAAATTTATCATAATTTTCTATTGCGGCAAAGTATACTATACTATAATTTATAAAATTTTTAGCTACCATATATATTTATATTATTTATACCGTATTTTCCGGCGTATAAGACGACTTTTCACACCATAAATTTCTGCTGCTAAGGGGGGGGGTCGTCTTATACGCCGAGTGTAGTTTAGGGATCGCTAATTAGAATATGGTTCCGAGCTCCTGTTGT